GAGCGTGAAATATTCAACTGATGGAAACGATACACAGACATGACGCTAACTTCTTTCATGGCCTTTAACTTAGTGGTTCCTTTCGTAGCGCACTTTAATTTTGGGAAACAGAGCATCACACTGTATAGTGACGCGCTGGTTCAAACTTCAACCAATGCGCTTCTTGACCTTGTTGGCCAATGGCCTTCGCCACCCGCTGCGCCAACCACAAACGTTCGTTGTCAGTCAGTCAGTCAGTGAGTCAGTAAAAGTGTCACTTTCAAGTCCGCAGGCCAGCAAGGTGCAGATTAGCAAGTATCTCGAAAGAGGCACATCTAGTCCGGAGTAGCCAACGACGGCCCTAAGCAGATTCCGCCACCATCATGACGACAGTTGTCATGACGATAGTTGCGACAACTGCAGTTTTCACGCACTTGGGCTACACTATGTTCTACCAAGAAAGAAAGAAGTCATGTGCTGATGCAAAACGTTGATAGACAATTTGAAGTCGAAAATAATCATAATCTATGTTCTCATTTCATGCTGATGGTACTAGGCGGTGCTCCCAGCAAAATTGTTACCCGTAAGTGACCGTGGGGCTACACCACTGTATTTCTGAAATATATTCCTATTTTGAGACACTGCTTTTAACAGCGATTTGATTGCTTTTAACAGCGTCAACATGGCTCGTATTGTTTTTTTATAATCCATCACTCAAAGGGGAGTGTCACATTCCACGACTACTGGAATCTATGTCAAATTCATGCTTTCGTCCGCTGACAGAAACCGGTGGACCTGTCATCATCACGTGGGGGAACAAAGACCCCCAGATTTAGATGGAGGTGACTAGAACAGCAGCAGCAGTCCCCTGACTCCTCTCCCGCGTTGTGGTCACCAAAGGTCTTGTATGCACCTCTGCCTGATGGTGACATCGCTGCATCACTGCAAGCCGGTTCATTCGTGTCGGATCAAAGCGAATATTTTCCTGTTGTTGTGCTCCAGCACCTCACGCTCACAACGCGTCTAGGATATGCACATTTAGCTATCGAACGGCCGACTTCAACTGCTCGCGCTGCGTGTGTCGTTGCACTGTAAATCTCTTTCCTGATTTCTTTCAAAAAGTTAACGCTGCCATTACTGTTTACAACGCCGTCATTTCTGATTACAATGCCAGACATTATTTCTGCTGCTGCAAATTGCACCATGTTTTGATACAGACGTTAGACGCGCTCTCCGACAGAAAGAAGGCGCACTGCACCTCAGGAAAGCATTTCCAGGCCAGCATTCTACGCTGCTTTCTTCTGCACTGGATTATTTATGAATCGTGTGCGACACCAAATGCTGTAGATCTTGAAAGGGTTAGTGCAGTACTTCCGAAACAGCTCGAAACGATTCTGGCCGGTCATAAATCTTCGCCATTCGGACATTTGCTCATCTTACCCTACATGCAAGAGAGACTCTGAGGTTGTGCACAAATACAGAAGTTTAGCACTAATTCGGATGGAACGGGGGCCAGGGGTGAAAAAAGTGCCTTTTCTGTCACCGATGAAATTTGGGACTGTCTTAATTGTCACCTGAAGCCAAACCATTTAGAAAACACTGCAGTATAACTAAAAATGAAATAAACAAAAAAAAAACAACAAACAAAGAGCACATTTAATACAATGCGGCATAACCATGAGGTGTTTTCATTTCGCGAGTTCAGTTGCAGTTCAGTATCATTTGCTAGTCATCAAACACTGAATGGTGGTTGAGTCTAAAGTATTAGTTATCAGATAAAGGCATACTTAACATAGCTAGCCTAGAGGCGTATAATTTCCTATTCGGTTGGAGGGGGGTGGGGGGGAGATTGTGCCTCTTAACCGGGGAGATATATTCTTATTTTCATTCATTATTTTCTAAGCATTATTTTCCATTAATCATAATTTTTGATGTTCAGGCCCCCACAAAACCAGTGTCGAGAAACAACACCCCTGCTCCCAACCATGTAAAGAAAGTGCATCAAATCTGAGGAGAAAATTGTTTAAGTGCATTTTGGAGGCAGGCTCAGCCATTTTCTCCTGCCTCCCCCTCTCCATCCCCCAACTCTACGTATTTTGCAAAACTGCATCCGCGTAGCCCTACATTCACCGATAACGTGGTTCTGCAAGCAACTGCCAACAGTATTACTTTTGGTTTGTGACGTCACTAGCTGGAATCATTAGCGACTCCCACTGCCTGCATAATCATTACCGATGCAGAAATCGCTCTTCCTAACATGGTCCCAATTATTTAGAGAAAACCCAAGCAGCATTATTATCAACGAATGCAAACGACATTTTTCAACACCTCTTGCGCCTTCATTTAGCTCTATGTGCAATACGATGACAGTAAAAAGCGTTGTATTTCACGTCTGACCACCGATCAATACGCTAAGTCAGAGGTACAGCTGGCAATGGGAGAAACCTACACCAGCGATACTAGACCTCTTATCTCAAAGCCGCTATTCCTCACAGCAGCAGGACGCCCTGGATGAATCCTTGACACGTTTCGCTCCAACGTCCCCCGTGTGCCTCTGACGCTACAGCTCAGGTATCCTAAAACAACAATCCTACCTAAACGGGTGTTTTTAACACTATTTCATGAAGAAGCTGACGAATATCTTCGTTCTTCCAGCCAGTCAGCCTTTCAGGACATGAACACAGCTGACAGGAGCCCTCAATCTTGCACTGAGCCCGATGCATTACCGCGTGACGAGCATTCAAGCCCATCCGTCTCATATGGCATGACGCTTGAAAACATTGCGTAACAAACTGATCACGTTCGCCGCAAGATACTGAGACCAGCTACGATCCTTAGGACTAGCAAAAAGCCTAAGTATTTGGTATTTTGCACTGTTTAGTATTCGAAGTGAATCTTGGCTGAAAAATCTGTGAAAAACACTGATTTGAGGGTCATTGATAAACCACTGTCACCACCGATCGGCGACGTCAGCACTGTTGCAATATAGTTGGTAGTACATTTTTGGCACCTGCAAAAACTATCCTGATTAAAGCTTCTATGTTTGGCAGCTCTTATGGCCCAACTTGGTCAAAAAGCGAAAAATCAACGTTTCGACATTTGTTCTGCACATGCTCACGCTGCAAGTGTTAACGAATGCAGACCAATACTTACCTTTGAGTTTCGTTCAGCTGGGACGGTCTGTTGTAATATGGTCTTGTCTGTTGAAATTTGTCTTCATTTTCGCGACTTTCTTACCATTTGGTCGGAGAGAGTGCCACGTTGTGTCAACGATCAAATCCCGCAAATCGGAAGCTTTTTCACATCTGGCGTGAGCATTATGACCCCACCCCCTAAGCATGTATGAAGATGTCTGTCCCGCAAATTTTTCCTTTAATGTGGCATAGTGGGGTCAATCAAGGAGGCTCGTGAGAACGATTTCTAGATATCATGGCCGTCAATTGACTTTGAAGCAAGGGTGTGCAAGATATGATTACGTAATCAAATAATGACGTATTGAGGAGCATATTCACGAAACAGAGAACCTGTGTTGTCTAGAGCCGGATTTTCCATTGACACGCCCTCGGGTGGAGTCAAATTGACCCCACCCCGAAGGTTTTCCCAAATGGTTTCCGAACGACGTGGCGTAGCCGCGCCAAATTTTGTACAGCTGTAGACAAGTGAATACCGGATAGTTTGGCATACCAAATTTAAATGTAAATTCAGGCTATGGTCTCAGGGAAGCCTATTTCTAGGAAATATTTTAATCTGATGCAACAACGGAATGTTAGACGAAGCCATACACCTCTGGGATGCTTTCTTAAGCAACACAAATATTGAATGAACAAATTACGTTGACCTAAGGTCAGGTATGAAGGGCAGACCAAGGTCATAACCATACTGTATGGGATAGCTTCTGGTGCTCATTTCCAATTTATTGATAGCAGGAACCGCATTAGACATCTTACATGGACTTCTTAGAAGCCGGAACAGGCCATTGACCTAAAATAACCTAGGTCAACATTTTGTTTTTAAAAACATGCTGCCAAGCGTAACCTTTTTCGCTTATTCAGATGCAAAATTCAAAACAGTTTTCTATTATTTTGGTCACCCTGACCTTCAAAAGATCAAACAAGATCACTGACCTTCGATAATTATGCGACCTTTTGCTTAGAAACAGTAATCTAGGTTCTGCGGGCACTTTGGAAACCAACCCGGAATTTGACCTTTTTTGACATTACTTGGCCCGAAGGTCATGACCAAGGAGCCTCAAACTTTGACCTAAGTAAGTACACGTACAACTCAACACACCATGTAAATTTGGTGTTTCTAGCTTTCTTAGCTCCCGAGACCTTAGTAGGGCGGGGTTCAAATTGACGCCCCCTCGAATCGAGCCCCCCCCTCGATCCGAGCGAAGGGCATCTAGCCGGTCACCCGGACGCGTGTTAGAAAGTAAAGCAATAGGTATACGTGTGATTATTTCATCCGATCCAATGCTTGTTTCAAAACATTCAAACGTGAAACATTCCTTTTACTAGTAATCACTGGCACGTCCAAATTAGGTCTTTTCAATGTACGAACTAGCAATGACATCAGTGCAATGCTGTTACATGTGAACTATCCAATGCCACTATCGGCTTGAATGTGGGCGATTTTTTCTCCGGCGGCAGGGGGCATGTGAAATCCCCTTATCTGGCAAAACAGTCGAAAGGACGGTCGTCCGCCGGTGGCAAACCGAGTGAAGTTCTGCTGACTTGTAAACATGAGCTCGCTGTCAAACGCTTGCCGAGCGCCGTTGGACGAAGAGAAGTAGTTGCCTTCTTATCTAGGATACAGGAGAAATGGTGGCGCATCGACAGGTGCCGTTCAGGGCAGATGGACCGATGCCTAGAGTGAAAACGAGCACCTGTATGTCGCGTTCAGATTTGCTTCCTGATAAGTAGGTTTGCTGGTATATAGGCTCAAAGGCGCCTCCCACACGAGCATATATTTCTTCAAGGTGAGAGCGAAGACACTGGCATTTGGAATGCTCCGCCGAAGAGCGATGCAACACGCCATGTTGGCAGCGTTGGGTAAGGCCGCTCATTGACTGCTCACTTATTGATTATGGACATGAGTTCTTGTTCTAAGATAACTAGACGGCGTGATAACTAGACGACGTCAAATTTGCACTATGTTACAGCCTGCATACCTCTGATATGGTACTGTGTCCCGCCTAAGCTAGCGATAAGTGTTTAACGTGGTCAGACCATAGCGCGATTAGTCGTGGGCACATTGGCTCTCTTAAAGTGACATAGCTTCTTACAGAACGTCATAGCACAAAACGGCACAGAGTTACTGACTAAACCGCTGTTGCATGACGCACGCTGGGCACTGAGAGCCGTCATGGTGGTCTCTTTCGGCCCTCAGTCATCACCTGCCTGCTGCCGGCGACTGACGCCGGCTTCCCGAAGGTGGTGGCGACGCAGGGCGAGCCCTGGCCAACACCCGAGGGTCTCCAGCTGACCAATAAGTCGCTGCTGATCGCACTGCCAGACCGCTTCGAGTTCCGCGTGACGGGCGGTCAGTGCGCCGAGCTGTGGGAGGCTGTGCTCCGCTACCAGGAGGTCGTGCGCGGCCTGGCCGGCCCTGCACGTCGGACCCGGCGGCGTCCGGGCGCCGCCCAGCCGGAGCTGGAGGTGCGCGGCGAGCTTCCAGGGTCGAGGTGAACCTCACCAGCAGCTGTGCCGGCGCGCCGACGCCCGAGTTCGGCATGGACGAGACGTATCGGGTGGACGTCGACGCCGCCGACAGCGGGACAGGCGTGGCCTTCGTCACGGCCGACAGCCTGTGGGGCGTGCTGCGCGGCCTGGAGACGTTCACGCAGCTCATGTTCTCCAACGGCGAGGGCGGTCTGTACATCCGACAGGCGTCGATCGCTGATCGACCGCGCTACTCCCACCGTGGCGTCCTCCTGGACACGTCGCGGCACTACTTCCGGATCAGCACCATCAAGGACTTCCTTGACGCCATGGCGATGAACAAGTTCAACGTCTTCCATTGGCACATCGTCGACGACCAATCTTTCCCCTTTGTGAGCATCAAATATCCTGCTTTGGCGGAGGGCGGTGCCTACTCTGAAGACATGGTGTACACAGTCGAGGACGTCGAGGATATCATCGAATATGCCCGCGTGCGCGGAATTCGGGTCATCCCCGAGTTTGATACGCCAGGACACACGGAGTCCTGGGGAGTTGGCCTGCCAGGCTTCACCACCACCTGCTACGGGGACGACGGCCTCCCCGATGGCACTTTCGGCCCCGTCGACCCGAGTAACGAGGACGTGTATACACTGATGACGCATCTGCTGGAGGAGATAGTGATGCGCTTTCCCGAGAAGTACATCCACCTGGGCGGGGACGAGGTGAGCTTCGGTTTCAACTGCTGGCTCTCCAACCCGCAGATCCAGGCCTGGATGAAGTCGCTCAATATCTCGACCCCGCAGGAGATTGAGAGCGTCTACATCGCGCGGCTGCTGAGCCTGGTGGAGGCGCTACCGACCAGTCCCGAGTATGTCATCTGGCAGGAGGTCATTGACAACGATATCCAAGTCAAGCCGGCCACCATCGTTGAGGTGTGGAAGGGCGGCTGGGAGGCTGAGATGAACAAAGTGACTGGCCAAGGCCTGCGCGCCATCCTCTCCTCCTGCTGGTACCTGGACCACATCAACAATGGCAACGACTGGCAGACGTACTACAACTGCGAGCCGGAGAGTTTTGGTGGCACGGACGCACAGAACCAGCTGGTGATTGGTGGCGAGGCCTGCATGTGGAGCGAGTACGTGGACGACACGAACGTGATGCCTCGCGTCTGGCCGAGGGCCTCCAGCGTGGCCGAACGGCTCTGGTCGCCGAAGGACACCGAGCACAATGGACACACTGGCCGCAGGATGGAAGAGCACAGGTGAGCTAATGTGCACCCCTGTGCACAAACCGCATGAGACTTTGCAAACCCCGACTGACTGGAGCGACTCATTGGAACACGAGCACACAAAATTTTTGCGCGCAGCTAACTTCTTGTGCTTATGATGGGGGGGGGGGGGGGAGGAAGGCAAGTAGTCTTTGGGAAACAGGAGTTGGATCGGCTCACGTTATAGTTAGGTCAGCTGGATCAGCTCACGTTACGTGGGTGATGAACGCTTTGAATCGGCTTTCGCCTTTTGAATCATCACCGCGCGGAGGTTGCTGGGCATAGCTGCTGAGACATCTTGTTTCCTTTATGTGGTGTCTTGTCGTGGTCGTTTGCGGTGTGCCAGAAGTTTTAAGTCTTAGAAACGCTAAGTCACTGGCCCAGGCAGCCTTTACTTAGGTCATGTCGGAAAAAGCTGTGTTCCACATGACACTTGATAAAAGCAGTGCGCTGTTTTCCCGAACCTTTTCCTCCTAACAGTACTCATCAATGGTGTTTTGGCGACATGTAGGGGGCATTTTAAACCACAGGTCTAAGTTAAGTAAACTTCAGTTCTCGCGATTTGCCACACACGCAGCCGAAACGCAAGGTGTTGTTTGGATATCTTGTTTAACCTGACAGTATCACCCTCTCCCTGTAAGCAGCATTCTGCCTGAAAGCTAACCATAAAATCAATTTGCCTTACGGTGCAAGTTTTGGTCAAGGTGTCAACCGTCATGTCTTACTGTTCGAGCATTTCGCCTTAATTGACACACGCCTGGGCAGCCGGTTGAATACCCTTCGTTCGGGCCGGGTCAATCTGAACCCATTGAAATATCAAAAACTAATAAAGTTAGAGGCACCAAAGTCTCCGGATTGGTTGGCCTGTATGTTTACTCATTTGTGTTAATCTGAGATCCAGAGGTCATGATTTTCTGGTCAAACAAGGCCAAACAAGTTCAAAACCATGATTGGTATGCAGAGTGCTCCCAGACCTCCTCATGCAACCACCTGAAGCCTATAGGTCTGTTCTAAGCAAAATGTCACTGGTGTGCATTTTAGGTCGGTGACCTTGTTTGACCTTTGCAAAGCCATGTTATCCAGAAGACTACTGGAGTGTTTTGGTTATTGAATTTTTAATAAGCGATAGGGATTACGCCCAGTGGTACAGTCCCAGAAAGAATCGGTCGATCGGGATCGTTTTACATCAATGACCTACTATGACCTGTAACAAATTCATGGAAAATACCGGTTGCCGTCCCTGTTCTCAAGAAGTGTTAAATGAGCACCAGAAACTACCTCATAGAGCAAGGTTTCCAGCATAAGAACAACCTGGTTTTGACCTTTGTCTAGCCTTTTCACACATGCCTAGGTCAATAAAATGTGCTGTAATCCCAACTTGAGCCGTTTTTGCCTGATTAACTATAACATAAATGTATGACTTCGTCTAATACTTCGCTGTCGCGTAAGACTGATCGGTTCAAATTGCCTTACCTAACAGCCACGACCTGACTTTCACCTGCCATAGGTCAGCAACCATACCAGGTATATCTAATTTGTTTCATCAAACGATTCGCTGTTCAACTGCCAATAACTATACAAAGTTGGCGAGGCTTCTCCGCGCCGCCCAAAGTATTTTGAAAATCCTTCGGGGTCAAATCAACCGGTCACCCAAGCGCGTGGTAACACGCGCCCGGGTGGCCGGCTGAATACCCTTCTCTCGGGTGGGAGGGCAATTTTACCAAGCTGAGATCTCAGGAGCCAAGAGAGCTAGAGGCACCAAATTCACAGGTGTGTGTTGCCTGTACATTAACTCACTTAGGTCAAAGTTCGAAGTTCCTAGGTTATGACCCTTAGGTCAAATAAACTCAAACATGTCAAGTTCCAGATTTGACTCCAAAAGGCCCCTAGAACTTAGATAACCTGTTCCAAGCAAAAGGCCACATGCTCATTTTAACGTCAGTGGCCTTGCTCAACCTTTTGAAGGTTGTGGTGACCAAAATCACACAATACTGCTTTAAGCTTTGCATTTGGGCAAGCAACAAAGATTACACTAGGCAGTATGCTTCTAAAAACAAAATGTTCATGTGGGTCATTTTAAGTCCGTGACCTATTGTGATATTTAACACGCCCTTGGGTGGGGGAGGGGGATCAAATTGACTTCCACGAAGGTTTTTCTGGAATGGTTTCTGAAGGGCGCAGCGTAGCCGCGCCAAATTTTGCATGGCTGTAAACAATTAAATAGCGGATCGTTTCACATCAATCATTTATATGTACCTTCTAGGTAGCTGACCTATGGCAGGTCAAAGTCAGGCCATAGTTACAGCGAAGACAATTTCTAGGAATCATCCTATCTGATACAATAATGTAGTGTTTGACGAAGCCATGCATCGGTGAGATGCTTTCTTAGGAAATGTAAATTTTGAGTGAACAGCTTACGTTGACGTAAGGTCAGGTATGAAGATCAGACCAAGATCAAACCAACCTGATTTTTGCTCTAGGGCTTGCTGTATGGGATAGTTTGTGGTGCTCATTTCGCATGTATTGACAGCAGGAGCCGCATTATACATCTTCCATTGGCTTCTTAGAGGTGGAAAGAGGTCATTGAACTAAGATGAACTGATTCGACACTTTGTTTTAGGAACATGCCGCCTAGCATAATCTTTGTCGCTTATTCAAAAGCAAAACTCGGAGCGGTCTTGTATGATTTTGGCCACCAAGACCTTCAAAAGGTCAAACAAGGTCACTGACCTCAAATGGGCTTGTGATCTTTTGCTTAGATACAGTTGCCTAGGTTCTGGGGGCACTTTGGAGACCAACCTGGAATTTGATATTGTTTGACTTTGTTTGACCTGAAAATCATGACCTAGGAGGCCTAAACTACGACCTAAGTAAGGTTACGCACAGGGTAAGATGTCCTTTCAATTTGGTGCTTCTAGCTTTCTTAGTTCCCGCGATCTCAGGGGGCTCAAATTGCCTCCCCCCACCCGAGCGAAGGATATCTAGCCGACCATCCGGGCGAGTGTTAAAATGTACATGAAAGATGTATAATGCGTTTCCTGCTATCGATAAATTGAAATGAGCACCAGAAACTACCGCATACAGCCAGCCATAGAGTAATAAAACAGGTTAGTCTTAACCTTGGTCTGAACTTCATACCTCACCCTAGGTCAATGTAATATGCTCATTTAATTGTTTTATTGGCTATGAAGTTATTGCTGAAACCATGGCCTGACTTTAACCTGCCACAGGGAAGCGAACTTACAAGGTACATCTACATTTGTGATGCCAGACGATTTGCTCTTCAGTTGTCTACAGCTATGCAAAGTTTTTCGCGACTACGCCGCGCCGTTCGGAAACCATTCCGGAAAAAAATATTTGGGGGGGGGCAATTTGCTCCCCGCCCGAACATGTGCTAAAGATGGCTTGCATATAGATTTCATGTAAAGCAGGGAACAAAAACTACATTCGAGTTACGATTAGCTTTAATTGGGAAACAAACGCTTTAATAGATTCTGTCCCGAGTTGGAAAGGGTACCCAGACGTGCTCCAACTGTTCTCAGTCCTCAACAGTCCCCACATTACGCTGGGAAGAGATATTTACCTCTTACCGTTTTTAACTGGCGCGTACACATGTCAGAACGTCTTCACACGGGGACTGAGTGCTTGCATCCTCCGCCCTGCAGACGGGATGGACTCCAAAATACGCCATGTGCCGTCTTTAACCCTTGCCCGTTCCGGTTTACTCCAGTTGTCTTTCTCATAACTTGCATATCTGTTTTAGATAACGTCTAAGCATAATCACTGACACGAAAGGCTGGAATCCCCCCACTGATCAGGCTTATTGAAGTGAATGCGCTTTTCTTGAGGCATGTTTCAAACCATCCTCTGCTGAAATCTCGAGCCCAGTTATGTCCAACGATAGCACTGGGCATTGCTGCTGCAGCACGAACAAAATGCACTAGACACATATAATATCGGCTTTTCATTCCCCAGCTTGCGAGCTTATCATTTCGTCGCGGCACAGCACAGCGCTTTGCGCATGTGTGTCACTGAGCTGAGACCGTGATCGCACCCTCCGCGCCTGTGCGCGGAATTTCATGTCAACCTCGCTCAAAATTGGCATGGGAGTAGGCAAGATAAAGTAGAAGAGCTAACCGCGAGCAACGACAACCAGACCATCGATACCATTGGTGGCCTGGGTGCGCTCTGCCATATATGGATGATATGTGTGATGCCAGTAAAAATGAGCGTTTGTGTTTAGCTCAGCAGGAGTCGTAAGCCATTTAGCGAAAGCTGCATTGATAGATGTTTTAGCATGTACGTGACTAGACCACGTGATATGTGCCTAGGGTATGCCTGCTTCATAACACAGCCCTGCATCACGCTAGCATCTAAGAAGATATGGTTTTACCAATGCCAAATTGTCCTCCGAAAAGGGTGTCTGTGCTATACGCGGCATAAACTCCATGAAGGAAAGAAATCAAAGGCATGGTGTGCCATTTCGTTGAATTCTGGTGATATTGTCCTTGCAGCTGGAGATCTTAATCCCTACAAAAATGCGTCTTCATATCTCGCGCGATTTATTGCACAAGCGTTTCAACCAGTGCTTCACCCCTCGGACCGCTGTGAGCGTATCACAAGCTCGGCGGTGGTCGGCACTTGTAAGCCGCCCCCTTTCCGGCTGCCCATGTCGCGTAAGGTATTTTCAGATCGTGCGGCCTCGTCCTGGAACCACCTGCCGCGGACCGGTATGACCTCCCGGAGCCGTGATGCGCTCATGTCTCAACTTGACCAATGTGAAGAAGAGTGTTTTGGTTTGACTTCGTAGGCTATTATCAAGGTCTTGACGCGTCATCATTTTTGTCGCGTCTTCGTGCTTATCGTGCAATTTGTACCCATTTACTCGCATCAGTGGTATGATACATCGCAAGATATATACATCGCATGATTTGGCAGTTTGTGAAGAGCATTACGTAACACACATGTTGGGAAACGTAGCGCAAAGAAAGTATAATTTTCTAGAGTGCCCAGCGCCAGGAAAAATTTTGAGCTATTAAGGATTTCATGAAGCTGGTATTACCAAAAAAAAAAAAGGAAAATGCCTATTCAGCTGCGTGCGACAAGCACAAGTCACATTTTCCCTTAAGGCGAACTACCTGTAATATTCTTTGGAGCTTTTTTATACGCGAGGTGCATCATCCGGCACATAGTCGGCGTGTGTATCCGGGACAGGATGAATTGCGCGTAACTTTCCGCCATGTGCCCTCTCTTGCAGGTGTCGGATGGTGGGACGCGGCTACGACGCGGAACCACCGAACGGTCCCGGATTTTGTTAACACGTAATGCGACGTCTGTGGGGCTGCCGAAGATAACGACCGGGACCGCCCTTAAGGCGGCGCGTCACGTCCGTGACGTGGGGCACTGGTGGTCAATGAGGCAGCAGTTGACGTTAGTTGGCCGGCCTGTGCAGCGGAAACTGTACGACACTGGCGTAGTTGCGCGCAACTGGGAGTCGTGGGTGTGGTTTACGTCCGCGTGGCAATACAGAGAGTGCTTTATAGAGCTGTGTTCCCCGCACATGTACGGACATGTCCCGCGATCGGTGCGACTGACAGTGTCGTGATGGGCACCGCATCTGGTCTGCCTCGCACCAACTCTCAACAAGACGACTTCGACGTCGACGGGCTGGGCCATCAGATACAGCGTGCACTCCTCAACCATAATGGATTGGCGACAGCCGCCGGCATCTCCGACGGCGGCCGGTGGACACCCGCAACTGGACGCGCCGCTGAGCGCCTCAGCGACGCTTTATCCTCCGGCCCGTACCGCCAGCTCGTGGAGAAGCCGTTGTCCACACCCTTTGCTTCTGCAATCGTCTCAGATTTACCAGCAAGGACTCGGTTATCATCGGGCGGATGTCAGACTCTGTGAAAACAGTTTGCAGCGTCCCACCCGTGGATCGTCCCCCGCCGCACAACCTCACCCGCGCGATCGTTTAACAGTCGTTCAACCTCATCCACGGGATCGTTTTCCTGCTGCACAACCTCACCCGTGTGATCGTTTAACTGCCGCACAATCTCACCCGCGCGATCGTTTTCCTGCCGCACCTCACCCGCACGATCGTTTAAATGCCGCACAACCTCAACTGCGCGATAGTTTAATTGCCGCACAACCTCGCCCGCGCGATCGTCTTCCTGCCGCATAACCTCACCTTCGCAATCGTGCCGCACAACCTCACCTTCGTGATCGTGCCGCACAACCTCACCTTCGCGATCGTTTAACTGCCGCACAACCTCACCCGCGCGATCGCTTAACTGTTGCACAATCTCACCCGCACGATCGTTTTCCTGCTGTGCAACCTCAACCGCGTGATCGTTTAACTGCCGCACAACCTCACCCGCGCGATCATTTAACTGCCGCACAACCTCACCCGTGCGATCGTTTTCCTGCTGCACAGCCTCACCTCCGCGATCGTCTTCCTGCCGCACAACCTCACCTTCGGAATCGTGCAGCACATCCTCACCTTCGTGATCGTTTGCCTGCTGCACAAGCTCACCTTCACCACTGTTCTCCACGATAGTGTGCGCATGCTGTATTAATACTAGTTTGTTAAATGAACGCCTTTTTAGTGGGAGGCTATTTGTATTCAGCTACTTAAACTTTGATGAGTCAGAATTGCCTAGCCGCTCTTGTAGTTTGACGACATTTTTCGTCAGATAGTGCAGAGAATTTAGGTACACACACCGAGATAGCTATCAAATAGCAATCATGTAGCAATAGAAGCTATGCAATCCATGAAAGGACTCAAATTTTCCGCACTTCCTGGCGAACAATATCGTCAGAGTGTAATGCTTGCGTTGGTTAGTAATGCAGAGAACTTTCGTGTTAAGGACTTGAGGTGGTTGTGTTCTCATCTGGTGTCTCGATTCAAAACGTGACCTACCAGTTCGCAATTGCTTAGTTATTGGTCATTAATTCGTCCATTGGTTGTGCCAGTATTTTTAGAGTCCGGCTCAGTCCTGACCCGTGTATTACTGGCAATTTCTGACCCACTCCAGTTCAGTCCGTTTATGAATCTGCAATCTGTGCAAATTGATATTTGTAATTCGGAAAAGGCGCTACCAGCCATCCCGCGACTTTCGTTACATAGGTCTGGCTTAGTTTAGGCTCAGTTGCCGGTGGGCTCCTTTTGCCAAAGATGTGAGTGAAAACGGCTTCCACTCCGAGCAGAGCTGACTTGGAAAACATCACGCAAGCAACAGCAATGCAGAAACGTGCCGTAAAGTTTACTCTTATGTACCCAGAAGCCTGCACTGTCCCCAATCTAGTACTGTGGTGCTGATAGGACTTAATCGAATTTCGTTGCATTGGCACGAACCTGCTGCCGACTAGTTACCGATTAACTTTCATGTTATTATGTCGCTGTCCGGTGCAGTTTGAATCCTTCCGACGTTGTTGTTCCATGCATCATGACTGAAACAAACCGACTGACGTGGCGTACCATCGGGCGTTGATCACTACGTCGTGGAGCGACCAGCCTGCCCCTTTTTCCATCATCGCCCCATTACCGGCGAACTGCCACTTCTCCGCCGAGGAAGCGGAACGTGACCCTATCTACGTGGCATGTCCGCCTAGATGCGAGGGAGCACTCGAGTAATAGCATGCTTTGTATTCACCACTGTATCACAATAACCGTTTCTCCGCTCGTGGCCTTCTTTTATTACATAGCGCAGAACAACCCAGTTGCTGTGGAGTTGCATCAGTCCCATAGAGCTCCCTTCACTCCGATGAAAAGACGAGCGAAGGAAGTCTGAGAAGCAAATAGTGTATACAGTGCCCAGTCATCTCACACAACACATCTTAACAAGGTGTGTTTGCATTACACATCACATTAACTCTTGCTATTCAGGAGTTTTTCACCTTCGTGCTGCAACATCAAGGGACATCATAACATTTCAAAAACTGGGTGAGCTAGGACCAAGTGAAAAACACTATTGAAAGCCTCACGTAAAACTGGATAAGATAGACGCAGGTGAACTATGGCTAATGTGACTTTTGACGGGTCAAAAGGGCCAATTAGTACTTTGCAGAACCCTTCTGTTATCGCAAGAACCAAGTATGCTACAGCAATGCGAAACGACGTTGACCAGCTCGTTAAAACTAAATAATAAAGGAACTAGTGCGCATTGACTCAGGTGAGCTGTGATACGTCATGTCAGGTCAAAGTGGAGAAGGATGATGTATTGGCCCATCCGGCTGCATAAAGCTATTCAAACAAGGCACATTTGCTAAAAAACAGCGCTATAAAGGCATTCCAAAGCTTGCGAAATGTGCGGTTTAAGTTTCATATCACATAAGTTTTAAAAGGTAAAATTTGGCCACAAAAATAAAATGTTCACCAAGCCTGACCTTGGATAATCTAGCCGCGCAAAAGCCACCATGGTTATGAAAAGAGGTCTAGAAAACCTGCTTGCTACGCATTTGCTGCGATAAATGGGCATATATGCCACTTTGAGCAAGATGTTACTGTCATATTCTCGAGCAAGTGTCGACCACCGGAGATCACGTCTTCAAATTTTTACAATATTCGTAAAAATGATGCAAGCTCGGGTGCCCAACATTTCAACACCATGCTCAAAATAGTTCTGATGGTACTATTGTTTTGGTCACCTGATTTCTTCCCTCGCCACCTCTTGTAGGGCGAATGTTTGCCTCTTCTCTCACCCATTAACAGATGACCCATAAACAGATGTAACCCAGGGAACCCAACTCGATCTGCCGCGGGGCATAGAACCTTAGGAACCAAGTATTATCAAGCCGCTGCGCTGCCTGCTAAGAAATATGGGAGGTACCAAGCAGACAAAGAAAAAATAGCGCTTGGATATGTGTATTTTTCAGACTAGTGATAGGAGATTAAACACGGAACCATGCATTAAAAGTGAGAGAAAGCAGTTATTGCCAGATATGACCACTGTCAGTACCTACGCCAATCTAACGCTACATTATGATGGGTAAACTTACTACATGGTGTGAAAGACGAATCAGGGAACTTCAGAACCAATTCGATCTTGTTACGCACATGCCGACACCATTGACAACAGCAAGACTAAGAGAGCTATCGACTAAGACTATCGACTAAGAGAGCATGCTTCCACCGGTCCGCAATGGTGCAGGGTAATCACTCAGAATGAGATCATACCTGGGCTGACCATACCTGGGCTGTGTACAATGCTAGACATTGTTTTGGCTACCAAGCACACAGGCGCTTGTTCACACATCCACACGTTCATACAGAGCACATGCACATCCAGATGACGCAACACCATTGATGCCGCTTTTTTCCTTATTTTGACGTTGTTGTGCCTATCGACTGACGTACTCCAATTGGAATGGGGTCGGGGACTTTAAATAATGGGTCATATATTATAATGTAAATATATAATATGACAATAATTTCGATGATGGATAGCGGGTAATGGGTAATATAATAATAATGGCTGCCGTGGCCAAACAGGCAAATAACACCTCAAAGCCTCATTACCATGTCATATCATTGAAAAGTCTACGTCTGGATATAGAGTACGTGGCAGAATCATGTGATGTTGAGAAAAATAAGCATCATAGGCACTATCGTCACGCTTTAAGAAAACACCAAGATATCTTCAAGGTGGCATCATTAGAGCTTCAATTATTTACCATGAGCCTAATTGATAATATCATTGCCAATACTTGTCAAAATGCTATTTTCTTGCTGGGCACCACTGGCCTTGGAAGGGAACCAGATTTCAGCTTGGATTGATGTGCACCTGGCTTGAAGCATTCCATGTTTACAAACAAAACAAAAGGCATTTATCTGCATCTGAAATAAGGTGTAGGAATGCCACTGAAATTGGGAATTAAAAAAACGTGGGAGGCAACTAAATTACAGAGGGGACAAGTTGACCTGTTGAACCTGTTTTGAAAGGGATAACATGACTAGCATGCATCCATGTGTAACTTGGTGCACACAAAATGACTGGTTAAAATGGGAGGTCCCCTCTCCATCCCACCAGTAGTTACACAAATGGCAGCAGAGATCTGATTACCACAAAATCACTGCGGCAATGAGATTGACGCAGGCCATTTGACAAACTAAACTGAACATTCAAAGCACATTTGGGACAGGGTTTCTGAAATATTTCTATCCATGGTGCAAGTTCAATCATCTTATGATAAAACAAATAGTTTGCCGTCAATAGTTTATGCCAATCTGACGGGCTGTTAGTCGTTATTGCCTACTGGTGGACGCTTAAGCAACCTCGCCATTACAAAGATGCGAAGGCCCCATACGCATTCCCCGCAAGTACGCTTATACGCTATTAACGCCAAGTATAGCTGGAAAAACGTCAACAGTGCGCTAGATTTGAGCTATTGTCAAATCTTTCCACTGATATCGCCGGCTTTGATGTTTTCACAAAGCC